TATATATATATATATATATATATATATATAAAATCCAATTTCAAATTTATCATTTGAGATATTAAAAAATTAGAGAAGCACTCTGTTTTCTATTATTATTATTCACTTAATAAATTTCTATTTGTAGGGTCAGGCAGTGGTCCAGCTGGCCAAGACCGTGAAAGACGTGACTATCTTTGGTGTATGCAGTAAATCAAAACACGAAGCCCTGAAAGCGGCTGGTACGATCGACCATCTCTTGGAACGAGGCACGGACTATAGCAACGAAGTTAGGAAGTGTGTAATCAAATCTATGATTTATTGTTTTTTTTTCTCCTTTATAGCGTGTTTTACACGTCGTAGAATTCTTTATCGCCTGTTTTACTTCTCTTTTGTTCCGCAGGATCTCCCCGGAAGGTGTGGATATCGTTCTCGATTGCCTTTGCGGCGAAGAGTGTAACAAGGGTTACGCTCTGCTGAAACCTATGGGGAAATACATCCTTTATGGATCAAGTAATGTGGTCACCGGAGAGACTAAAAGCTTCTTCTCGGCAGCGCGATCAGTATGTCATAGAAGTTTAATTTTATTACATCTTTCTTTGCCCTGCACACCGTTGTAGAAGAAGTTTACTCCCTTCTTCAACAACGGTAACTAGTTTATGTATGGGTATATTAGTAGTTAGTACAGCACTTAACCCGAAAGCTATGGAGTCGAGAGAATTTAGTACATATGGGGAACGAGGGGAATTTTAGAGGTCCATTAGGAAATTTAAATTTCATGAACTGAATGCAAAAAATCAATATTTTCTCTTTTAAATAAATAATTGAATTGAAAATGAGATATAGTATATTGAATGAAAATATTTTTATACTATCTTGCATTTAATTATAAATGCAGACTTTGAATGAATTACCCTGTATAATGATGTATTTCATCAGTGTTCAAAGTCTCTTCCGTATTTATCATTTTACAGTGGTGGCAAGTAGACAAGGTATCCCCCATCAAATTGTTTGACGAGAATAAGACTCTATCTGGATTGAATCTGCGCCACTTGATGTACCAACATGGCAGCCACGCATTCGTACGGCGAGCAGTGGAACGGGTGTTCACCTTGTGGAACGATAGTAAAATAAAACCTATGGTGGACTCTACATGGGCTTTAGAGGACGTTCCAGAAGCCATGCAGAAGATGCATGACCGTAAGAACATTGGTAAGATCGTGCTGGACCCGAGTCTCGAGCCGAAACCGAAGCCAGCGACTCCGGCCAAGGGGAAGACGAAGGATAAGAAAGCGGCGAGCCAGGAAAGCCAGGAGAAGAAAACATCGAGCGTCGAGTCCGAGGAGGGGGAGAAGAAGAAAGAGCCTGAATTGACAAATGGAACATCCGAAGACAAGTCCGATAGCGGTAAATAAAACCAGAAAAAAAACGTTCTCTAGCTTGTATCGTTAACTGGTAAAGAAAATATTTGCCGTTGCGTGTTTTGTTACCCGCAAACGGTAACGAAATATTCGATTGCCCAGTCAAATATTTCGCGCGTCCTTCCTCGATTGACCGAGCCTCCTTTGTTTGCTTTCAGATTCTAAAGAAAAAGAATCGAGCTGAATTAGCGGCGCTAGCTAATTCCAATATACGTATATTTACATAAAAAGTATATATTAAAAAAAAAAAATTATAAAACTGATATCTCCCATCCATGAAGATCAAGAATTTTGCAGATAAGTGCTGCTCTATTACTTCTCACTATTCAGAGATCTGCTACGTTTGTTGCGCTATACGACGCTTGATTATTATATGACAAAGTATCCGTGAAGCATCATGTTATGCAGATGACGAGTTCATTTGGAAAACGAAAACGCGAAAGCGAGACAAAACATACAAGCAAAAAATGAAAATCAAGAATTTCGAAATGATTAGCTCAAATCAAATTCGACCAAAAAAAAAAAACAAAAACAAAAAAGACTCGTTTCCCCAGAATTCATCTACATGCCTCTTTCCTATCGTCTATTTACGCTAAAAGAATTCTTCGATGGAATTCACGAGTGAAAGAACGGATGCAAGAGTACATACGAAGGTTCATTTATGTATGTGAACCAGAAAAAAAGCACAAAGACAAAAGTAAGGAAACAATATCAATCTTGACGTGGTCCACAGTAGTTTGCAGAATATAAGAATTATAATTTTTATTTTTTCATACTGACCAAAATTCATTTTCATACATGAGTAAATGACCTGACAGATGCCAGACTTGTTAGACGATCTCGTAATAATAATAATTTTTTTTTTCTTAGTCTTTCTTTCTTTAACCTTTGTATTTCG